GAAGGCAGACGCTTAACTGACTGAGCCACCCAGGTGCCCCTAAAAGGTATAAACATTTTTATGGCACCTTATACAGACAGCCAAATTGCTTTAGAAAAATTGAGTAACTATTTATAATTTCACAAATCAACACTAAGTTGTCTCACTTAACTTTTGTTGGTTAGATTAGTAATACCTAATTGGTCTAAATTTGCAGTTTTAACTGTGTATTTCTTATGATGTGAAATACCTGCTCAAAGGCCTTTCTCACTAAAGTCATATAAGGGCCTTACATTCTAAAGCCCCTTTGTTTGTGCTAGTCATTCAATTCACACTGAACACCTACTATACAGTCTACTATGTTAGGTGTTAGCTACTGTGAAGGGCAAAGAAATCAACCTTTGTTCATTCCCTTGGGAAGGGATCTTTCCCTCAAGCAGACTGTAAGTTCCTAATTAGTCTGTGAAATTCTCAGAGACCAAGACGACCTATCTTTGAACCCTAGTGAGAAACACAGGTGCCTGCTTTGAAGTGAGAGCTCAATAAAGGAAAATAAATTGGGGAGGCAGGGAGGTAAAATTGAAAGAATATGCTTGACACTCTTTGCTGCAATTTCTTTATTTTTATGATGGGAATAATTCCCCTCTCTTTCTGAAGAGTATTTCTTGAGTACTCAGTATTTTAAGGACTGGCCGTACAGCAATAAACTGATTCTCCTGGAATTTACATTCTACCAAGAGAGACAAAAAAACAAGAAATCACGGAAGTAAATTAGATAATTTCAGATGGTAATAAATGCTATAAAGGAAATAAAACAGGTCAATGTGATAGAAAGTGACGTGTGTGGTTTCAAAATATCAGACACAGTGATCAGGGAAGAAAGAATAGAGAAAAGAAAGTCAAGGGCTGAGCCTGGGGATGTTCCAGCAGAATGCAGAAGGAGGAAGCAACAAAGGATTAACAACATCAAAGAATGAGATAAAACTTTCAACTAGTTTATAGGATTAAAGGAGATTATATATATAAAAGTATACCTGTACTTCCTTAAGATGTTTCCTTAAGTAGCTTATTGTCTGGCATAGGAGAGGGAATGAGAGATGTAACAGAAAAACATAATACAAAGTAAGAGCAGTATCTTTTATACAAGAGGTACAGGGAAAGTGCCATGAGAGTTCAAAGAAAGGAATTAACAACATAGATCCAGGTAAATATTCATTCTTCAGACTTAAGCAATGCCTCTCTGGAGTCTTCCAGGCCGTCACCACCATAACTTGCACATTGTCCACCACTGACTGTCACACGCATTCCCATTCACTAGTTTGCGAGTATCTCCTCTACTAAACGGGGAACTCCTTCCACACAGAAACTGTCTTTTTAAAAATCTCCCGTGGTGCCTAGCATAGGAGATCCTCAGTGATTTCTGAATGAGTGAAGAGGTCAGGAAATACTGAAGCAGGGGTACTGGAAGGATGATGGGGACACAGGGGCAGAGCTGACTGAGTCTGGAGCCATGTGGGTCACAGTACTAAAGCAGAAATCACTCATCCTTGTTACACATGGTGCTGTTAACAATGTTGGGCACAAAAACACACTGACCAAATACTCCCTGACTGAGTTCAGATAAGGGTAATTTTAGTCGTGCAAATGAAAGACTCATTTTCCCCATCATTGCTAGCCCCTTCCACTTACCCTTACCTAAACAGGCTGTAAAAATAAGAATGAGTCACATGCAACAAAATAGATGAATCTCACAGACATAATGATAAATAAAAGAAGCCGTTCAAGAGTACATACTTTGTGATTCCATTTATATCAGGTTAAAGAGCAGGTAAAATGAGCCTATGGTGATACAAGACAGAAGAGTAGTTACCTCTGGAAGAATATAAACTAGGCAGGGGCAAAAGGGAGCTTTCTAGGTGGTAGAAATGTACTATATTTCACCTGGTTTGTGGTTACATGGACACATATACACACACATATAAATATACATTTGTAAACAATTTATAAAGCTGTATACTTATGATTTGTGAATTTTACTCATGTGTACTATACGTCAAAAATTATTAAAAATAAAAGGTAAAATAAATAAAAGATTCAAAGGCAGTACAAATGATAATAATTGATATAGGTAAGATGATAATGTTAATATACTTACTTCATCTCCCTCATCAATTAATCCTTGAATGGCATTAAAAAGAGAGCCATACGCTCCTACTGTCACAAGGATTTCTTTATTTGGATTGATTTGATTTTGATAAAATTTTTCATATAAGCAGGCTAGAGCTTTCACAAGTGATGGATGACCCTGTTGAATAAAAAAGAAGAAAAAAAAATCTTGAATTTGATTATGGGATCTACTTCTTGGAGGTACTCTGGATCTAAAATGAAAGAATTTTTAAAATTTAGGTTTTATGTTTGTAATTATCCAAGGAAAATTTGTATTTTTTAATGGAGATAAAAAACATTTTTCACTACTTTCAGAGGATTCCTACATGAAGGATCATGAAAACTTGCTAATGACTAAGAAAAAAAAAACCCTATTAAACAGTTGGTTTTGGAATTTAAAATTCCAACGTATATGTTTTGATAAAGATTGGCTTCAGTACCAAATATATCTTTGACAGTACATTATTTGACAGCAATCAAATCACATTCAATTTTTTTGACAGTAATTAAATTATATTGGATAGAGTTGGACTTTTTTCCCAGTAAAAATAAGAAAACCTGCATTGTCTATATATCTTGATTCTGTTCTTCCATGTTACCAAAGAGAAGGCTATTATGCCAACCAATGGATTATGGAGAGAGGGCAAAAACAAATTCCCCAAAGAAATACACATTAGTGCTCATGTGAGAGTTATGTTAGGAGGAAGTAGGACATTCTTCACCACATGAGAGCCAAGAGGGGAGGAGTCATCCAAGCAAACAACAACGTTCACCAGAGGAATGAAGGGACTGTAAATGCACAAACTCTGAGACATGTAAGGAGTCTTTTTTTTTTTTTTTAAGATTTTATTTATTTGTCAGAGAGAAAGCGAGCGCAGGGAGGGGCAGAGGGAGAAGCAGGCTCCGCACTGAGCAGGGAGCCCGATGCGGAACTCGATCCCAGGACCCTGGGATCATGACCTGACCTGAAGGCAGACGCTTAACTGACTGAGCCACCCAGGCATCCCTGTAGGGAGTCTTAACTCCTTCATTCGCTCTTCCTCGATTCTTCTCTTCTTCTGTGTTCTCTGTGCTTGCCTCCTTCTCTTTCTTTTCCTTCCCTTTTCCCCTCCTTGTCTTATTTGGTATTGAAGTCAGTATTTCTTATGGCTTATTTTTTCCTAGCATGTAGCTCCTCTTTTTGCTTTTGGAGAACCACCTTGATTTTCTGTCAGTTGCAAGTGAGAGTCCAAGTGCAGGGCACCTAGGACTCTGGAGTAATAAACTGGGTCAGGATACAGGACAAGAGGGAGGCTGGTAGGATATACCCCAGGTTTATGAAATAAAATAGCCTTTGGTCATTTTAAGTTATCCATCCCAGCTCACATGAAAAGGAGGCTTTTTTTTTTTTTTAAGATACTTTTGTTGTCACCTTTGACAGAATGTTGGCTAGTATGTCACAGGCCCTCACCCAATTAAAATTAACAAAAACAAAGCTGTAGCCTATTTTTCATATTTTGAAATTAGGAGATATTATAATATTAGAGAAATTGGGTATAATTACTAATGCGGGGGTAACAGAACACAGCCAGTAAACTAAAAAATAATAGCAAGGGAAAAAGACTACTTAAATTCAAGCTCCAAAAAATATACATAATTTGTGAAAAGAGCAAGAAAAGATTGTCACCACTCCTGGAAATCCAAAATTTCCTCTGAATTTCATTTTAATAACAGATCTAACAAATTCTAGCAATGGGTGATCTGAAAGCAACCATAAACACTACACATGTTTCCTCAGAATAATAAGGGTCTGTGTTTTCTTAAAATTTTTAATTACAAAAATAATGCATTCTTCATATAATAATTAAAACTAGGCAAAGTTGTGTTAAAAAGAATTATGATCTCTCCTCAACAACACTTCCTTCACATCTCCCTGAGGTGACCAATGTCTTCCACAGCCTGATGACAGTGCAATACCATCCCCTGTGCTTATTCCAATATAAAAACACATATATACATATACTCACATATATTTACAAAAAGTGGAAAATATTTAAAGAATGGGCATAGGCTACAGCAAAGGAAACAATCAACAAAACTAAAAGGCAATCTACAGAATGGGAGAAGATATTCACAAATGACATATCAGATAAAGGGCTAGTATCTAGAATCTATAAAGAATGTATCAAACTCAATACACAAAAAACAAAAAATCCAGTCAAGAAATGGGCATACGGCATGAGCAGACATTTCTCCAAAGAAGACATACAGATTGCCAACAGACACATGAAAAAATCCTCAACATCACTCCTCATCAGGGAAATACAAATCAAAACCAAAACCACATTCTGACAGGTTTGATATCACCTCAAACCTGTCAGAATGGCTAAAATTAACAAGTCAGGAAATGACAGATGTTGGCGAGGATGTGGAAAGGGGAACCCTCTTACACTGTTGGTGGGATTGCAAACCGGGGCAGCCACTCTGGAAAACAGTATGGAGGTTCCTCAAAGAGTTAAAAATAGAACTACCCGGGGTGCCTGGGTGGCTCAGTCGGTTAAACCTCTGTCTTCAGCTCAGGTCATGATCCCGGAGTCCTGGGATCGAGCCCTGTGTCAGGCTCTCTGCTCAGCGGGGAAGCCTGATTTTACCTCTCCCTCTGCCTGATGCTCCCCCTGCTTGTGCTCTCTCTGTCAAATAAATAAATAAAAATCTTAAAAAAAAAAAAAAAAAGAACTACCCTGTGATCCAGCAATTGCACTACTAGGTATTTATCCAAAAGATACAAAAGTGCTGATTCAAAGGGGTATCTGCACCCCAATGTTTATAGCAGCAATGTCCACAATAGCCAAAATATGGAAAGAGTTCAAGTGAATGGATAAAGAAGATGTGATATATATAGAGATATATATATATCTCTATATACATCACAATATATATACATACATACACACACACACACACACACACACAATGGAATACTACTCAGCCATCAAAAGAATGAAATCTTGCCATTTGCAACAACATGGATGAGGCTAGAGAGTATAATGCTAAGTGAAATAAGTCAGTCAGAGAAAGACATATAGTATACACTTTCACTCATATGTGGAATCTAAGAAACAAAACAAACAAACAAAGGAAAAAAGAGAGAGACAAACCAAAAAACAGACTCTTAACTACACAGAGAACAAATGGGTGGTTAGCAGAGGGGAGGTGGGCAGGGAGATGGGTGAAATAGGTGACAGGGATTAAGAGTACACATCGTGATGAGCACTGAGTAATGTGTAGAATTGCCGAATCACAATATTGTACACCTGAAACTAATATAACACTGTACGTTAACCATACTGGAATTAAAAAAAAAAAAACCTGGAAAAAAAAGAGAGAAGATTCTCCCTCCCTTGTTGCCATCAGACCCTATAAGTAAAGGAAAAACCAAGATAAGACTGTGGAGGGGTTAGAAGTTGGGGACGGCTCCTTCTAGGAGGTAAGGGCAAGGGTGGTGGTCCCTCTGATTATTAGGTTGGGACAGTTGGTCCCAGAAAGCCAAGTATACAGAAGTGACAGGAGTACATTCACACAAAATACAATATAAAATACAAGTTCATGCCCCACATGGTCTTCATATACTTACAAAGCCTCGTGTATACTGGTTCAGGCTATCAATTGCTGCAATCTCCGATAATTTCTCCTTTACATATATAGGAGGGGATATATCTGGAAGGCCTTGACCAAGATTCACAACAGAGGGGTCTGCAGCCAACTTTGTAAATTCAATCCTAAAATTAAAAAAAATACTAATAAGTACCATAATTACAAAGTTAGCGTTTTATACCTCATGATCTTAACATAAAACTGAAAAACTAAGACCTAGTTTAGTCTTACAAATAAAAAAAAAATGAGTTCCCAACAAAAACTTTACCACTTACGAAATGACTTTGTCTAATTAAATGATGGCTGAACTAATGAACTTAGAAGTTTCTTACAAATCTCAATTTCTTGATACCCAACTAAGAATACCAAAATGTGTAGGAAAAAAGCGTCACCAAATTATTGTTGTTTATTCCAAGGTACTCACCACACATTACTATCAAGGCCTTCAATTCGTTTCGCATTGATGATTTTCAAAGACATCTTCTGAAAGATACAAATATTGAAAGGTTTTTTAAATTTCTTTAATCAACAAAAAAGCCAGAAAATCACAGATAGCTCTACCTTTTCCCTACTGTTGCCATGGAAAAAAGCAGTACCATAATGACAAATGCCAGACCCCAAAATACAAAATTCTGAAGTGCAATCATCTCCCACCTACTGCCCTAAGGAATGCTTTTTCTTATGATCCTTAGATGTTTATCTTCTCACAAAGGAACAAAAATATCACCCTCACCTAAAAAAATAAACCAATTTGAAGGCCTGAAATGTACTGAAGAAAACAATAATGATACTTAAAAAAGTCAGTTTAAAAAAATACCTTGAGTCATTCTCTGAAGATCATTTTAGGTAAGATGGACCAACAGTTCCACAAGTACGTGCCTTGGATGGCATACAGAAAAGAAGCACTCAACAAATGGTTTTAAAACTATGCAATAGAGAGCCCCAAATCATAACAGCTCACATTATTGAGTCCTGAGCACATAGCAGGCACTGTTCTAAGTGTTGTACATAATTAAATCATTTCATAGTCACAACAACCCTATGTAGTGGTTCTCTTATTACCCCTAATTTATGTAGGAGCAAAGTGAGGTCAGAGGATAAGGTTACAGAACTTTACACATCTGCCCAAGTTTACAGAAGCTAGTAACATTTAAACCCAAACAGATTCAACTCAGGATTTGAACCCAGTCAGTTTGACTCCAGAATACATACTCAGGTTTCTTTCCTTTTTTTCATTTTTTAGATTTTATTTATTTTTAGAGCGAGAGCATGAGCAGGGCAAGGGGCAGAGGGAGGGAGAGGGAGAGAGAGAATGTCAAGGAGACTCCATGTTGAGTGCAGACCCCAACGCAGGGCTTGATCCCACAACCCTGAGATCAGGACCCGAGCTGAAATCAAGTGTTGGGCACTTAACCGACTGAGCCACCCAGGCGCCCCCTGATCTATTTCTATATACTGTCTTTTATGTAACATGACCTTATAAAAAATATTACCAGAATGCTGCCTCCTAAAAAAGTGTACTAGACATTTAGATCAGGTCTCCTTATATCAAGTAAGCTAGGGCTATGGTAGAAAAATATTAAAAGTTAAAATTATGGTCCAGCATACAATTTCTTAGTTCTCTAGATTTTAAAATTAAGTTTATACTATCTCCCCAAAGCACTAAATTAGTGTTGAGTTCACTGTTAACAAGCTGCTAGGGAAAAAAAAAATGATTGGCAGCATTTTTATAAAGATTTTCCTAATAGAATATTAAAGCAATTTTAATTCAGTCTGGGAGGAAGATAATGATAATGGTTATTAAATAGACCATTGTTCTCATTCTATTCCAACAATGGAGCCAAGAAAAATACCTTTTTACTCTCATATTTTTTAATCTTTGAAACTCCAGTGAAGTAAATCACATGCAAATTCTCCAGAGGTTAAGGTGCCTTCCAGAATATCATTATGATTAAGCACCCACCTGAACATGATGCTATTTTAGAAACTACAATTATAAAACTAAAAAGTCCCAGAATGATAGACAGAAAAGATATTTTAACAATTGTCCTTTGCCATTAAAATGTTTAAAACTTAATGATTCATTTAGCATGTGGCTGCAAACACAAAGTACAAATTCATATATAAACAACTGAGAAAAGTCTGCAGCAGGTCATTTAGATACAAAGTCCAATTTTACTTAAAATATTTAGATAATTGAAGGCTTTTTTAATTTTATTTCCAGATTTAATTTTAAAATCTGTGTCCAGAACAGCCTCTCTCTCACAACCTCCCTGCCTCTGCTCCTTTCCACCTCTATGCCTCAACCATTTTAATATTTGAAATATTCCGTTTTATTTCTGTAGCTTCACATATGATCATTCCTCTACCTTAGTAGTCTTTCTACACCAATGTTTACCAACCTTTTTTTCATCACTGCCCCCATAAAGAGACCTTTTAGATATTTCTTCTAATCATCTCCCCTACTGCCCCATAAATTAAGGAGTTTTGTCAGATAGGGCTGAGGTTTACAAGGTCACAAAACATTGTAATAGCTATGGTTGGTTTCACCCGCCAAGCACCAATTTTCTCCCCTTGAGAGCAATAATGGCCCTGTTGAGAATGCATATTCTATATTCAATTCGATCCCTGCTCCCCACCACCCTGTCTCTGCACTTGGCTAACTCCTAATCCACTTGCCACTTTCAGTTCTCAAGTTAGACTTCATTTCCTCCAGAGAGTGTTTTCTGATTCCCTAGGTCTAGGTTATATGTTCTTCCTACGTACTCCTATTACATGGAGTACTTTCCAGCATTTACTATATATAACACTGTAATTTTCCTGTTTATTTATCTATATCCTTCTTTAGACTGCAAACCCTGAGGATTAGTTCTAGCTTGTTCACTGGTATGTGTCTGTATTAATCAGGTTTCTCCACAGAAACAGAACCAATACAGGATGTGCATATATATATAGTGATTCAAGGAATTGGCTCGTGGGACTTGTGGGGGTCAGCAAGTTTGAAATCTGCACAGCAGTCTGGCAGTTTGAAGGCCGAATTCCCTCTTCCTGGGGGGAGGCTTAGTTTTTTTCTCTTAAGGCCTTCAACTGATTGGATCAGGTCCACCCATATTCTATAGAGGGCAATTTACTTAAAATCTACTGATTTCAATGTTAATCTCATTTGGAAAACACCTTCAGAGACATCTACACTGATGTTTGAACAAATATGTGGGTTCCTTGGCCGAGCCAAGTTGACATAAAATTAACTATCACAGTGTCCAACATGTAGAACTATGCTTAGCACATAGTAATTTTTCAACAAATATCTGATGAATGAATGAAAAAATCTACACATTAGAAGTGAACTTATGGTATCAGCTTAAGTTAGGTACTTATTGTATCAGTCAGCTTAAATTAATTTATGCTTCAGTAACAGATGACGCCAAAGTCTTGGTGGCTTAAAATCATAAAGGTTTCTTCTTCATACTACATACCCACTGAAGGTCAGGTCTGCTTTGTTCCATGTCACTGTCACTCTGAGACATAAGCTGATGAAATAGCCTCTTTTTGGAATACTGTTAGTTTCACAGCAGAGGGAAAAAAATTTTAATTTCTGCTTAGATGTGCATATACCACTTCTACTCAAATTGTATTGGACAAGGCAATTCATTGCTATGGCTGATACCAACATGGCAGAAATGAAGTCTGGAGGTACAATGACTGTTGTGGGTTGAATTATGTACCCCCCCTGCCAAATTCATATTGAGGCCCTACCACCCAGTACCTCAGAATGTGACCTTATTTGGAAATAGGTTCATTGCAGATGTAATTTGCTAAATTAAGGTCATGGGTTGTGGGGAGGATAATCTGATGACAGTGTCCTTATAAAAAGGGTGAATTTGGAGACAGTCTGGTATACAGGGAGAATGTCACATGAAAATGAAAGTGGTATTTTTGAAAGTCAGGGAATGCTAGCGATTGACAGCAAACCACCAGAAACTAGGGGAAAAGCATGAACAGACTCTTTCTCACATCATACAGAAGAAACCAACCCTGGTACACTTTGCTCTTGGGCTTTTAGCCTACAAAACTGCGAGCTAACACAGTTTTGTTGCTTTAGCCACTCAGTTTGTCACACTCTGTTAAGGCAGCCGGAGGAAATTAATACAGTGATGAACATTTACAAGATACCCGACAGTGTCTAAAAACATCACGATTCAGCAGTAGATGCAAATGCTCACTATATAAGAATTACTGTCCAGAGTAGATCCAGTCTTATGAAATGAAAATAAACCTGGAATCTCATGGGGAATTAAGTATGAGCCTCAGCTGTACGATGGGAAATCTACAGGGCCTATATAATTTCTGGACCAGCTACTCCATGAGCTGGTTTCTGCTCCCAAGTAAATTAATGCCTGGTATACATAATATTGCACTGCTATGTTATAAACACAAAAATGCTAGTGAAATAATAAGCAGCATCTTTTTTTGTCCACTTGAGGCTGTAAAGTGCAGTTCTGCAGAATCACCACTAGGTGCCACTCTTGGCAGAGATGAGAAAAAGCTTACTGCTAATTCCTTCTAAAATGGTTACTGCAATGGTGTTGGCACAAGGAAAACTTGGAAAGAAGAAAAAAGATTACCCATTATCCTAAGACTCTAGCATACTAAAGTTTCAACTGTATATATTTTGGGGACTCTGCCTGTAAGGCTGCTGCTTTTAGGTCAGATAGGATAGGTGTAGAAAAAGTCTTCCCAAATGATGGGTTAAAGCTGGGGAAGCTGAGGCTGTTAGTATCTATGAAGCTGAGTCAATGAGTCTGTGCACTGAGTCTAGCATAAAAAGATAAAGAGTGCAAGAAAAGGTCAGAAACAGAAATAACAAAGCTAATGGTTAGAGAGAGGTGAAGACAATAATCAGACATGAGAAACAGACAGACCCCAGTACTTCAAGACTAGGCTGGAGCAGAAAGTAACATTATAATGGGGACCCCTCTAATGTGGTGTCTGGCTGCTGGGGCAGCCAAAACATCCATTATCTTTCAGATCTATGTTGCAATCACATGTAATTTTTTAAACATTTGCCTTTTCTTTTAAGAGAGTATCTTAAACATTTTATAAATTTTCTCAGTCATAAAATTTTCACTTTTGATTAGCAGATATTATTTCAGTTTCTTTACTCATTCATTCCCTATCGTTTGGGCATTTGTTATTCTCAATGTTTTGCAATTATAGGTAGTGTGTTTCTACTGTGCATTTAATTATAGGGTTCCTATTCTGTTTCCTTCAGTTTTAAAGTTTGATGTGGAGGGGAATGCCCTACTATAACACAGATGACATATCATCAATATATAGTCATCTAGTTCCAGCTAAACTAACGAAACACACAACTTTTGATTTACTTTTATGTAAAATGTAAGGTATAAAATTTGATGTTCCAGCAACAACAGTGATGACACTTAGTATTATTTCCCTTCATTCCTTAGCACTTACTTCCTAAA